AATCGTAGTAGATTCTTTTCATATTTTTTTCAAATATTGCTGCAACATTGTTAAAATAATGTTGCAAATTTATATTTTAACAATGTTTCTGAAGCATTGCATTGCAATATGCAATATTGCAACTTTGCTGCAATATTGCTGCAAACTTCTGTGCTGTATGGGCTAATGCCGAGGGTACTGCAACTTTCAAGCTTTATAAATTAATTAAGATTTACTTAATCAAAAAATATTTTATCTGTATGTTTTGGAAAGCTCTCGAGGTGTGCTACAAGAATATGTAATAAAGAATGGAGGATTCCATTTAAAAAATTCAAAGTGACCTTGTCCTGATCTTGACGACGCCACTTAAAAAAGGATCAAACCAATGTTATCATCTTATATCCCCCCTCAAAATCCCAAAACTTTTGTCTGAAACATTTTTCCCTAAAATGCACTGTTCAAGAGATATTTGAGGTGATCGATTAAAATGAGACACTGTATATGCGAATATACGTTATATTAAATATAAATAGTTTAAATATTTATATTTAATATAACGTATATTCATATGTATTTTATATGTATGCAAACTATAATCGAATAGTATTAATATTTATATTATATTATAGTATTAATTATTTATATAAATAAATTTAACAGCGATGTATATTATAATATGATCAAACTCATAACCTTCAGGCTTATACATATATTCTTTTGTTAAAAAGATTGTCATGGAAGATGCCATATGTTTTTTAGCATTTGTGGGCAGACTCTAATTGGTTGAAGAGCAGACGCTACTTTGAACACCCTCGTGAAGCCAATTACCCGCAAGATAAAAATTTCCGAATGATCAGTAGCTCAAAATAATGTTTTCGATTTGCTCCGTTTCTATTGATAAACGTAAAAAATTGCTCCCTTTTACTTTTTTTTTAATTCAAAAAACGATTTATTACGAAAAACGTACAGAACTTTTGATCTAATTGGTATTTTTGAACAAACAAGGCTTAAAATTTTGCTCTAAATTTGTTCCGTTCAGAGCAATAAATGTTATTAATCGGTTTCTTATAGTTTTTTTGTAAATTAAAAGAAACGTTTTTGTAAAAAATCTAGGGATTTTT